ACACATTTTCCTCATATCTTGCATATGCATGTCAGTCTTATTCATTTGAAAGATACTCAGATGAAGCTAATCTGTGGGGCCAATTTTGAATAATAAGCATTATGTAAAGAAGATGACAAAAAGTGCTTGATGCAAAATAAACTTTGGGTTGTGCTAAACATAAATAAATTGTCCCTCCCGACTCACTTACAGTCGAAGATAGTAGCAGATGCTCCGGTTCAAAATGAGAAGAAACGTTTCTATAGATTCTATATTTTTTGAGCTACGACAAAGGCTGAAATGTGGCCTGCAACACACTAACACTTGTTTGTCTTGTCTTGTCTTGGCTTTACTGAAGAGGATAACCATGCTGGAGGTGATTCTTCCATCAGCCTTAGGTTCACTCCTTTCATCCATACCACTGCCAGAAACTGTCTGGAGCTGGAGGAACATCGTCTTCTTCCTGTTTTGTGCCATCGAGAATCAAAACAGATTTTCCCTCCAAATCCAACCCGGAGGCACAAAATAAATAAAAAGACACAGAGTAGCTGTTGGCAGAGGCGGCAAATCGCCCCTCGATAACGTTATTGATGATGAAACAAGGTTGTTGAAATGAAGTAAATCATAGGACGGGTACCAACAAAATGATAGATGACTGCTGTATTTTCTGTTTACTCAGCACTTTCTTTTAATCTCAATCTCTCCTGCTGTGGCTTTACTGTACTCATGTCAGATTTTTTTTTTATCCTCTTGAAGCAACTTGAGCCTTTGACAGCAAGTAAAGGAATGCAGCCTCTTGAGCTTGAGTGTGTGTGTGTGTGTGTATGCATGCTCAGCTTCGGGGGAATAAGTTGTGCTGAGCTGTACCAGGACCTTAACATCCACACACAGTATCATCTCCCGTTCTCCCCTTCCACAGTTCACAGAACAGCATGACCGCAGAGGACGTCTCTGTCTCTCCTCTCTTTTCCTCTCATGTCCTTTACTCTTTCCCCCAGTTTAATTTCTCTCTCTCTCTCTCTCTCTCTCTCTCTCTCTCTCTCTCTCTCTCTCTCTCTCTCTCTCTTGCTCTCTCTTACTACGGTGTTGTTTCACCTTTCACAATGTTTTTTTTTTTTAGCTCTTTCTTCCCTTTTTTTTCTTGGGAAATAATGAGCTAGCTAACATTTTATCAATTCTTCTCAGACACTAATTCTGATTGTTCTTTTTGTTTTATTAGATTTTTTTTAGAGTAAGTGGAAAAATCCGTGGAAAGCGGACATCACAGTAAGTGCTCCAGCAGCATGGCTGGGTTAACCCACTAAGGGGAAAAACCTTACTTTATCAAAACCTAATCACCACCAGCAATGAGTGTTGTCCACTCTGTGCTTCGTATCATGTCCTCTGGTAACGAGGCCCACCATATCTTAATTGGGAGGAGATGATAAACATTTGGAATGGTAGTTGTTTAAGTGCGTGAAGTCTGGGCCTGGCTGTACACATGACACCATAATAAACACATTCATAAATTCAAATTATACACTACTAAAAACTTATATAATTAGAAACCCAATGTGCCTTTTCCACCGCAAACATTAATAACATTAAAGATGGCTGCATTCCACTTAGGGGAAGTCATAGTATTGTGCAGCTGGCTAACTGGAATCACTTGTTGGGACACCTAATGGAACCGAGCCGTCCCTGATGGTATTATTGTATCCAATGTAAAGATGATTGTCTCACGCAAGGCTGAAAATATTTCAAATATTTACAATATCATACACTCAACCCAGTTGTGAAGCCACATAGAAAGGTATCCATAAAGCTAGAATTATTCATAGACTGTGTGTAGGAAGTGGACGGAGTCATCGTGACGTTACCCTAATGGTGTGTGGACTCCAGTTTTGATACTTTGAGTTCAACATTTTGGCTGTCACCATCTTGGTGTTTTTGGAACCAGAGGTGACGTGAGGGGGTGGAGCTAAGTTTAACCAAACGCTGAATAAGACAATTTTAGGCTATCAAAAAGGTTGAAATGAACTTACATAAACTGAAAACCCACTTTGACACACTGAACAACGCTGTGCTAGCAACCTGTCAATTACAAAGTAGCCACACCCTTTATGGTCTATTTGACTCTAAATGGGACAATCATTTACTAAATGAACATCATGATGTATTAAAGAAGGCTTAAAACTAGAGATTGAGACCATAAACTCACGTTTACAATGTTTACTGAGGTAATTAACCAAGAGAGAATATACATCATTTTCTCATAGACTTCTATACAATCAGATTTCTTTTTGCAAAGTCGCCCCCTGCTGGCCAAGAGAAAGAATGCAAGTTTAGGACACTTCTGTGTAGTCTTCATATTTCAGACTTGGAAGTTGCCAACATCAAACCAGAGGTGATGGCCAAATTTGTGGCCACTAGAGGGCAGAATTACTCCAAAACATCCTGACAGACCCTGAGATATTATCAATAATGGTGTTATGGCAAAAAAAATAGCAAAACCTGCCGAGAGCAGACACTGAGCCAAATGGTCGTGTCCATTTCCATCAGAGTTTCCCTTTTAATTAAGTTAAATATTCACTGTCCTTTTAGTTCTGGGTTCGTCTAAACTGAGCCCGAAGATAGATTTTGGGCTCTTTGGATGCTACATGTTCCACTGTCTTCACTAACTAGTCGAGAACTCTGTTTATTTTATTTTTTTAAGCTTCTTGACTTCAAAACCGCTGCCCGACTCTTCTGACACCTTCACTATTAGAGCAATTAGTGAACCAAAGCATTGACTAAACTATTTGCCAAAACGCTGCAGATTTATGTGACAACCTTCTCACTGAGAGCTAGCCCTTTCACAATAATATATATAATAGCTGTTAATAGCTTAACATTTATTTTTTTCTTCTCTTTAGCAAGCACGCTACATAACTAGCACACTCTAGCAGATACTCAGCATGTACAGTTGCTTGCAGGTAAATCCCCAACAGAAATGTTCTGATTGGCTGAGCACCAAATATGATGTGATTGTCTTTCTTCTCATGATTTATAATTTCAACAGGCCTCATCCATGTTTTGGTATCTGCTCTAAGTAGAACATTTAGATACAGCGTCTTATGTGACTACTGAAAGTGGACAAAACTACGGTTACACTGAGCAGCTCTCTTGCTTCAAAGGCCTCCAGCGGCATGAGGCTGGGACGAAGATGAAACACCAAAACACACACACCCACACACACAGAGCAGAAAGAGATGAGAGATATAGACCTTGTCCGACAGCTGAGATATAGCACAAGAGCCCTGGGGAGTTTCAGGGGATTTCCACCGAGGGAATCGGACACGTTGTCTGATTTACACTAACACTTTGGCTAAACTTATGATAAAAGTTCACAAAAGAAACATCGCCTTATCTATCTTTATCCATCTCCGCCTCCATCCGTCTCTGTTTTTCTGCTCTGCTGCTCTCTCTGTCTCCATAAATACTGCGGTGACTGTCGGTTCGAGAATATTTTAAAGTTGAGAGTTATTGTTTTCATGTACGCGAGTGTTGTTCACTGTCATCTCACTGATGAAATTATCCTAAAAATTGTCATAAGTTATTGTGAAGCTGAAGGTCATAAGGGTGAAATAAATAACAAGAAGAAGCATATTTTAACTTGAAAAATAAAGGTGTAAATAATAAGAAACAGCATGAGAGAGGCTGAAAGAGAATACATTCATTTTTATCTGCCTTCACAGCTCCTTTTTTTTCCCTCAGAGAGCCAAGGAATGCAATGAGGAATCTGGTGAGAGATACAGAGAGGAAAGTGGATGGTACTGTACTGTAGTGTGTGTTGATTGTGCAACTATTTGGGTCTTTTTTTAAAAACTTTGTCCCTTTGTCTCGCCGCTCATAAACTTGCTCTTTGATAATGTTTGAATTCACTTTTTACAATGACAAAGTGTGGGGGGGTATAACTGTACTGCACTGTGTGGAAAGGGAGGGAACTTTGGTCAAGGTCAGCTGATGTATGGACTAAGTATTTGCACATATTTCTTTTCTTTTATTTATTTTTATATTTTTCCAAGATCTTGTAACTCCAGGGCTGTGGCATGTTCCAAAAAATAATTGGATCGTCGTGATGATCGAATCACACACAATGAGACCAACATTATTTAATGGATATCCCTTTCTGTGTGCGAGGAGGAATACAACTATTATGTGACCTGCTTGTGGGCTTTACGACGACAATACGACATTTCCGACATATGAATAAAGGCTGACTTAAGGCGAGACACTCCAGGTTAAAAAAACATTGTTTTTGTGCTATTTTGCTCCCATGACATGTTTGCTTTCCTGTCTTATTTACTTTGTCTATTTGCGTCTGTAGATTTCTCCTAAATACAGCAAAAGAGCATTAGAAAATGCCTCATTTGCATTTTGTAACATAACATTTTAGAAAAACTTAATGTAAGTAATTAACTGGGAAAGTTTCAGAGTGGTATATATTATTAGTGATATCTATTATTATCTATGGAGTGGCTTCAAAATGTCTGTACATGTACAAAGCATATCTTTAAGATGTTTTCTCAAAATATTTTTTCAGACTGATCCATAAATCTCCACTTCAGTAGCGCTTACATACACTAACATTTCCAGTTTCATTGCTATCTATATTCTGAAGGTTTTTACAGAGGGGTTTGTTCATATATCATTCATAGCCTGATTTATAGAACTTTTTTATTTATTTACTTTTTCACTTATTCTCATTTTCTGGATGAACCTGGCTTTATCGAATGTTTAGATTTCTGCTCTGGGAAGTTATGCAGATTAGCACATATTTAACAAGATAATGCATCATTTGCATTTTCAAACATAACATTTTCAGAAAACTTGTAATGCAAAAAAGAATCGTCTTTGTGTAAGTAATCAACTCCGGAGATTTTATGGTTGAATCTATTACAAATTAAAAAGTTCACCCAAGTCCCCTGTAGCGTCTCCACTTCATACCAAACGACAAAGGAAACTTTTAAATGAACAAATAAAAGACCACAGAGACAAACTACTGTATCAAAACAGTCACAATACATTTAAACAGAGAGAAACCATCATGTTCAATTATCTCACACTATTGAGTACAAAATGTTTCACTGACATTTGCTGTTTGATGACTCAAATATTAATACACATGAGACACAGAAGAACTGAAAAGTATAAACACTTCCTGGATCCATCCAAAGACAAGTCTAAAACATATCAGTTAAGTTACATATTTTCCCTCCATGGAAAGAGTTCAGTTCCCACGTTGAAGAAGTATTATTTACATCTCGACCATAATGTCCCGGCCACAGAGCCAGTGTGACCAAACAGACATATTTTAGAGTCTAAAACACTGCCAAAGTCCAGCAATATTTACACACCGCAGAGACAAGAGGCTCCCAAGAGCGCTGCCTGTAAAAAGAAATCCTCACATTACTCAAAAACAAAAAAGATAAGCTTTTTTAAATACAGAGCGTATTTAAGTATATATTTTATGCCGACCAGACAAAACACCAAAAGCTTGCATTGCAAACACTGCATGGGTTGTTCGAGGCAAGTTATTCACTTAATTTGATTGCTTTAAATCAAAGCCAGTATTATCCTTTATGGTGAGAGTGTGAGAACTAGCACAGCAAAGAGACTGAGTGGCACCTCGCTCCCTTTAAATCATTCCAGTGAGTGAGAGCAGTTTTTGTCTACAAAAAGATAATAAATAAGCCTTCCCAAAGTAGTTCAATACATAGAGATATTTACAGCAGAAAGGCGCTAAACTGTACGGGCATATCTGACCTTTGACCTCACTGTACACATGCTGGTAAGAAAACAGTCAATAACTGGGGATGAATTAAATATTACATTATAGTGATAGATGGAAACATGATCTCCGTAACACAGCATTTTTTTTTGCTTGTTGAAAAAAACTCCGGTGAAATTATGCTTTTTCAGTTGTTCTGACAGATTTTATGAAAAGATAATTCAAAATGAGGAACAGTTTCTTTTAAGGATAAATCTGGTGATAATCAGTTTATTTGAATCCAAATCCATGGAAATAAAATAGGAGCAGAATAGTTGGTCACATTAGCGGCCTTTCTTATGTGTACCGCTGCCACTGCGACCGCTGTAGCCGGCTAACTTCTGTATAAACTAAACAGACTTAAGGCATGTCGCGGACTCACTGAGGTGAGGCTGTCTGCTAGTTAGCAAGCAAGCTAACTAGCAGACAGCTTGCTAGTTAGCTTGCTTGCTAATTCCACCACGCTTTAATGCAACACTGGTTACAGAAAATGAGCCGAACAAACCTCAATGCAGTAGCCCTCAACTGTTAAAAACTATTATAAGCAATGAGCCCTCAGTTGCACTGGGTGAAACGTTCCTTCCTTACAATGAACATGGGCCCTATCATTGATTTTGACTCAAACCCAATTACTGCAGCATGTCTGCAGATGAAAAATAGTCCCAAACAAATGTACTATTTACACCTGTTTGAGTAACATTTGCTGAAAACTAATGATTAGGCCTTTCAAAAAATCGTTTTTTTATTAGATTTACATTATTAGTAGGAGCAGATTCAGCATTCTGGGAGTGTTGTTTTTGGGATCGGTGAGACGATGAGTATTTTACAACTTATTATACTGAATGTACTTGTCCTGGTGCTGAACGACACTGCTCATTTATTGGTTCATATAATTTGCTGTTTATCTTTAGTCTGTTATTTGTGCTTTTATGCTGCCGTCTTTGCAAGAGACCCTCATAGAAGAGATTTTAAATCTCAATGGGACTATCCTGAAACAATAATATAAAATAAAATAAAACAAAACAGACCAGAACTATTTTAAGGTAAGGTAAGCAGTGTGTATATGCTTGGCCAACACAGCACCTCACCAAATGCGTTGAATTGCGGCAAAAGCCGAGTCAGGTTCAACTTTTTTAACAGCAAACCTGCACTTTTGGCTGGAGCCCTCTCCGTTGGGACCCCTGCTACATTAACACAGTGATCCCAGTCAACTGACTGAGGGGGCCGTGGCTATCACACAGTGCTAATGTCTGTCTGAACACGACCGAACATATTTTGGGTTTTGGTCTTGTAATGGGATTTGTTAGCAAAAACAAAAGTATGCTAGCCGTATCCTTTAAATCTCACACCCTGGACGAATACAGACTGTTTCCAATCCACATATTTTTTTATGCGTCAAGAATGTTTATGTTTATAGTGTAGATTGTGGTATCTAGTTCTTAACGACTATTAACTTTCTAATAGGACGACACTGGTTCCCACACAGGCTAATTTCTTGGGAGCAAATGGGGTCACAAGGTTTGAATTAACCACAGACAGAAAATAGAAGCAGATGTAACCCAGGTGTTTACATTTTGAACTGTGACAGAAGACTCAGATGGCCAGCTGGAGCTTGGTGAGGTTCCTCTGGTGCATGTTGTGGTGTCGCACCAACTCATCGCTCCGGGCAAACTTCTTCTGACAGTTCGGCCACCGGCAGTTAAACGGCTTCTCGCCTGCCAGAGAGAGGGGGGGGGATGGTGCACAGGTTGGAAGAGGAAACGGAGAGGATGGCAATGACGAGAGGTGGCCGGATGGAATATCAATGAAATAAAGTGAAAAGAAAGAGGAGGGGGGGGGGGAGAGAAGAAATATTAGAATATTATGCTGATCATAACGGATAATGGACTTTATTTAGTACTGCAGTCAAGTAAGAATAAATACACATGGACGTTCCAACACTGTGTTGTAGAACTACCATACTTGTAATGTAAACATCAAATGGATGAAGAAGAAATGGAAAAATAAAAGTTTACGCACTTGTTTTACCTGTATGAGTCCGGGTGTGTGTCTTAAGGTGGTCAGACCGAGAGAACTTTCTCTGACACGTCTCGCATTGGAAGGGTTTAACTCCTAAACACATGTACAGTATGCATGCACACACATACACAAGCACAGGTTCACACACACACACACACACACACACACACACAGAAAACACATGTTCAACATCACACACACACACAGAGGGAGAAAAATACAGTAGAGCAGAGGTTTGCAAGGAAGCCATTCCAAAGTTTGACCAGCCTTTAGCAACTTCATCTGGGGGGGGGGGGGTTCAGTGTGATCATCACTGTACACGAAATGCAAACTGTGCCTTTTAAAAGACTGCATTGTGCACACAAAATGGCTGTCATGCGAACGGCGGTTTATAACAAATGGAGAGAGAGCAAATACAAGGAACTGAAAGGAGAAAAAAAAATTTTATCAGAGAGACAGACTGAGTAACACTGATCAAACCTGTGTGTCTCCTCTGGTGTCGTTTGAGCTGGTCAGAGCGAGAAAACCTCCGGCCACAGTCTGTGAACTCACACTGGTAGGGTTTCTCCCCTGGACAAAGACAATTGAGAAGACGTTAAATACAATTAAATTAAAAATGATCTGATCACTTCTTTATCCCACCTTTTACACACCAATATGAACATTTGGTTTAAATGTCAGCTAGTTTAAAGCTATGAGGAATTTAGATTTTGTGTTAATTTTGGCGGCCCCTGTGGACAAAAGTGGTGGTGTTTCCGAGCACCAGAGTCCATTTTACTGCAGCAGGGGTCTGACAGTCTGCACGGTTCTGGTTCTCCTGTGTCTCCTTTCCTCCAGAGGGGCCCAGCAATACGGTCTGGGTATTGGCCCCCGCCCCGCGAATTTATTATAAATTAATATAATTAATTGAGTATTTTATGTCAACGGAATATCTTTGAGATGTGGTCTCTTGGTGTTAGCTGACAGCTAGCTAAAGCAAAGGGGGAGAAATACTCTGACCTCCACAGAGTTATCTCTCTCTTACTGAGGAACCTCTCTAGAATCACAACACTGCTGAGGTAACACAGAATTATTGTATGCAGCTAGCTGGTGCTGCCAAAAAAACCGAATAAACCAAGCTCACAAGCCAATAAGTATTTTTTCGGCAATAGCAGATAAGGGAATTGGGGCTAGTGGAAACATCAGGGAAAATATTTTTTAAGAGGTCGAACAGAAAACCTTTGAATTAAGAAAGAACACATTGGAATCACCGGCAGAATGAATGACTGTCAGTAGTTATATAATGAGTAGAATATCACAGCACGTTTTCCTGTTGGTTTCACCTGTGTGTTTGCGACTGTGCATCTGCAGGTGAGACAGCTTGAAGTATCGCTTGTTGCATCCTGGGTAGGCACACATGAACGGACGCTTCTCACTGCTCTCTGACCGCACTATGGCCGGAGCAATGCTGGGCACCCGCCGCACATCCTGCACACAAACACACATAAACACACACACACACACACACACACACACACACACACACACGCACACACACACACACACACCAAACAATTATAATTTAAAGCCAAACCACTCAAGGCAAAATGAACAAAGCCAAACCAGTAATTGAACCAGTGAAATGTAATTTAGAAAACAGGCAATTAAATCTGCCCCGTGTGTAAATAAGTGCACGTGATGTGTCTGGCTCATGGGGATCATTATGATAAAATGCTCATATATTCATTAGATGGGAATTAGCAGTAAAATGACCCCTAGACTGACTGCAGCCCAGAGGGAGCTGTTAGTCACGGCCTTTTAAACAGGCCCCCGCTTCCAGAGCGCCACGTTCACCGCTGACACGGCGGGAGAACAATAACAGGAATAACACCACGGCTGTAGAAAACGTTTTTTTCAACATCGGCTCTTCTGCTGCATTGTAAATGTACATATGTACGTGTTTCACTCTTTTTTTTACGCCCTCTCGTGCCACCTGCATGTGAAACTAAATAAAAGCAGAGGTTTGTCGCTGTGTCAGCGTACTGAGTTTATTTACAACAGCAGCTTCTAGTCGCTCGAGCTAGCTCGCTTGCGGACGAGTCCGGGGCCATGTGATTTGCTGAGAGGAGTCAGGGTGATGATATCCACTGATATTATAAAATTACAAAAAAATCACATGAAATATTAGAATCATTAATAAATAGGAAGTATAATTGGGGAAATTGCCATAATAAAATAAAAACAAAAGAAAGAAAGATTTGCAATGAAAATGTCTTAAATGAAATAAAACCTAGCAATATTATAAAAATAACAAGGTGGAACATGAAACATGTCATAATAATTGTCTGTTAATTTTTGTATTTCACACAAACACTTTATTCATGGGATTATCTAGTTCACAGTTCCTCATTTATCGGTTTATTATTGAACACTCCGCACTAAAGCAACTGATACTAGTCCAGCATGTCTAACTGCAGTAATCAAGAGCAGCGCCAGGTGTTGCTCGTTAAATTGAATTAGAGCTCAACGAAGTTGAGTGAATCAGCTTTGAATCAGTCATTTCTTACGTGATTCTTGATCCGTCTTCAACAACCTGTTTAATATCTTTTGGGGTTTTTAGTGATATTAATGAAAAATGAAATTGCGTGGCTGTCATGTGTCCTTTCCTTTGGCAGAGGCGGAGAATTAGTGTAATCCCTGTAATGAAAATGGCAGAGCAAAGCATCACTTTGCTACTCGATCTGTTCGCTGGCGCTTTAGCAGCTCTTAAATTAGACTTTAAAAAGGCATAAAAGTGAGAGCTCGTTTATTCTTTTCTGCACTGTGTCAGACCTCTTGTGTGGGTTTTTTTATTGTGCACAATCTATTTCTATGCACAGAAGAGGAAAAAAAACGGCCGTGAATAATGAAACAGGCCCCCCAAAAAAGAAAGATAGATCTCAAAAAAGTCCGGTGCGGACTAAAAGCAGGTCTGGAGAACCTCTGCCTCCTGTCCTTTAGAGCAGCTGACAGACAATAATTAAAATCTAATGATTTATTAACATGCTGATCCCCTGTATGGAAACTGTATCCTTACCCAGTGTGTGTGTTTCTCCACTGCTAATGGATTTGTGGAAAAAGATTCCTCTTGTCCTTTGGCGCTGCCTTTCAAAAAAATCTCTGCGTACCTATGTCTGTGTGTGTGTGTGCATGTGTAAGCATTCCTGTGTGTGTGTTTGTAAATCTCCTCTGCTATATTTCCTCTTCACATAACCGGGGTCAGGCTCACCACCACTCATCTCCTTCAGAAACATGTTTAAAAAATATGTTTTCTTTGTTATTGATGTGTTTTTAATCTCCATTGTGAGTCCTACCTGTAGGCCCCTGAAGACTCCGTGTGTGTGTATGCGGTACTGTGTGCTGCAGCTGTACAGCATGGGGGTGCTGGGGTCGCTGTCGTAGCCCGCCGCGTGGCTGCCAACACAGAAAGAGAAAGAGAGGAGGGATGAAAAATACAACGGAAACAAACACTTCAATTTACCGTAAAAGTGAGAAAAATACATTGACACGCAGTTTTGATTCAATCAAAAATGTTGTGCTCTAAAATATAGAAATTGGAAATTTAGTGCCAGTAAAACATTTTACGATCACAAAAAAAATCACGTTTCCACACAGATGGCTGCCGCATACAGCATGCAACAAGACCCAAGTTCACGATTCAAAGCCGTAAATCTATACACTGTATGGCGGATATATAGAGCATGAAATGCTCTTTGACTGCAGTTAGCTTCATGAAAAGTATCACAGACCAATCATCGGACCTTTTGCACAATAAGTACGTGCAAAAAACAGCTTTTAATATTTCACTCTGACCTAAAGAGCAGAACAAAACCTGCTCTGTGCGACACAGCTGCCCGTGTTGCCTCTCCTATCTTCTTATGATAACACAAAGAGAAACAGAAAGCTCTTGTCTATGAAATGTGTTATACTTCAGTATGTCTGAGCAAACGAGGAGGACGGGAGTTTTGCATCCTGCGCTGCCGCAGTGGGAATGTTCAGCGCACGGCCGAGCGGTCATAAGGTGCTCTTTGTTTTCGACTCGCTACTTCCACAGACGGGAGGAGAGACTTCGGCGGTAGACGCGGTGTAAATCACACGGAATGCTCCTTTAACTCATGTTCACTCATTTATATTGTAGGAGCAGGTAATGTACAAGTTAGGACACCTTATTCAGGGATCATGGACCTTCCACTGAAACACCTCTAACTCCAAGTCCATTACAATGACAAAGGAGGGTGGAAGGTGGTGGTGCTGCACACCTAACACAACTTACCAACACAGTCTCACGGTAGTCCGTGAAATAGTCACGAACTGTAATCTATTGGTTTTGTGTACAGGGACACGAATTGTCCATATTTTACGTGTCACTAAGAACGTCTTTTTTTCGGGGCAACGTTACGTTAACGAACCAAAGTTAGGTTTAGGCAACAAAACCACGTAATTAGGTTTAGAAAAACTGTTACGAACGTTAGTTTGAGGTAACAAAACCACAACCATAGGACCACAACGCGGTGTCCAACACCGGTTGCGTGGATGAAAGCCCTGTGTTTGTTGGGCCCACGTAGTCTCATGCTTTACTGTTCACAGAAAACACCTCTTCGGCAGGTGACGTGTGCTTCATTACATATCTCTGCTCTTCCTCTCGAAGCTCAACTCCCCTACACTTCCTCTTCCTCATCTCCTACTCCTCGCCCCATCCCTCTTTATCTCCCCGTCTCCCCCTGACTCCTTGCTACTCCCTCACACCTCCCTAGTGAGTACAAAAAGTCACAGAGAGAGAGAGAGAGAGAGAGAGAGAGAGAGAGAGAGAGAGAGAGACGCTGCCACGGTCAGAGCGGACCAAGGCCACTGAAATACCACGATATGAAGCTTCTCTTAAGACCTTTTTAGTGCTTATGAATAAGAAAACACAAAGGCCTTTGGGCCAGAATCAAAATCAAATTTGTCTCTACTGTCACTCATATTAATATAATCAGCAAGACCAACAACGCTATGATATCTGAAAGCTAAACGGCATTTCTGTCTGCTACCACCCCTTTGTACACTTCCCCCGCAGACACACATTCATCTGTTAACTATGATGAATGCCTGTTGGCTCGGGGTAGAGAGGTATTTGTGAGCCGACACAGATGCTGACCAGCGTGCAGCTATGCAGGTCACAATGACATAGAGTACAGTGCATACTACTGAATGTTTTATTTTAACTCTGTGTGAACAGGGGATGTTGATACCGCTGTGATAATATCCAACTGGCTTCTAATGTATATTTCTGCTTTTAATTAATCCAATATTTCATAGTCTGTATATAAGAGGTGGACATATAGTTACCGTGACGTCACCCATTGGTTTGTGGACTTCTGTTTTGAAGCCTCGAGTTGCGAATTTTGGCCGCCAACGTTTTGGTTTTTTAGCCGTTGTCGTTTAGTTTTTGTGCAACCAGAAGTGACACGAGAGGGTGGCGCTAAGCACAACCAAAACAACAAACTGTTTTTAAGAAACCAAAATGTTACAATTAACCTTGGTGAGCTGATAATACACTTTGAAAGGGTTAAAGTTCAAAACGAAAACTCGGACAACTCTCAGGCTGGACAACGTTGTGGTAGCCACCTGTCAATCAAAAGGTAGCCACGCCCTTTATGGTCTATTTGACTCTAAATGGACCATAATTTACTAAATGAACATCATGCTGAATTGAAGAAGCATTTAAACTAGCGATTGAGACCATAAACCCCTGGTCACAATGTTTACTGAGGTAATGAATCAAGTGAGAAGTAGAGTCATTTTCTTATAGACTTCTGTACAATCAGACTTCTTTTTGCAACCAGAGGACTTGTTTAAGGCGCTGCAGCATTGGCTTCACTTTTCAGACCCGGAGGTTGCCGCCTGGTGGATACATTGAACTCATTGGTCTAGATTAAGATATCTCTACAATTGCAAATCAGATTTACAAAATTTAGTAAGGAGTTCTACGGCCAAGAGGGGACCACCTTGATCTGTTGTCTAGCACCACTGTCAGTTCTACATGTCAATCATGTAGAATCATATCTCTCCAAATAACACACATTGGTTCAGAGACAGATTTTCTTAAAAAACAAACTGTAGCTGAAGTATCCTTGTAACCTAGAGGTTAAGATTAATACATTACAACTATAACAATACATTTAAAAAGTCTTAACAGACTTTTAGTTTTGAAATTTTATTTTGAGTTGTAATGAACATCCCAAGAAGGGCTTTGGTCTATTGGTCTCTTTGGTCTCTGGCCTATAGGTTTGATTATTCTCTGACCTTATTCATTGTTGTATATATCATGTGGATTGATAACTAATACAAATAATCACATTTTATATCCTATAAATGGACTAAAACGTTTTTTCACCAATGTGCTGAACAAGCATTAGTGTTTAGTAGGATTATGTCAACAAAAAACAGGTTATCTATATTTAACAAAAACATGGTTTTGGTAGCTGCTGAAGGAAATGAATAAATATTGTCTTGTGAACTGTCGCTGCCATTGCTGGTCCAAAGCAATCATCTTGTTTCTAACCTACTCTTCATGTTTCCCATCCAGCACAAACTTCACTGACTGCTGCTATTCAAAGAAAGCGATGTTCCTACCTCTTCATGGTGGACGCCAGTGTATTGACAGGTTTCCATGTCACACACTCCAACTGAGAGGTCATTTCATAAACATTTTCTCTGCTGTGGAGGGACAAAACGTAGAAGAAAAGCCCATGAGGTGTGCGGTAGACTGGCATTTACCAGTGTTGAGTGTGTGTATCCATTTATGGCTTTTTGTTAACCTTATAAAAGAAGCACTCTAGGGAAAAATGCCAACTCTCACACACACACACACACAGAAAAAGTTGCAGGTGGAGCTGAGGTCAAAAATGTGCCTCAGACAGACACTAAGAAAGCTAAATTCTCCCATAACAGCCACTTTTCATGAAACACAGCATACTCCACAATCATTATTCAGAGCTGCCATATAGATAAAATACATCGTAGCAAACACACACACACACACACACACTGTGGATTTATAGCTCTCATCCCCCTATCACACCACCTGCCTGCTCGCAGCAGTCCGGGCAGGGGTAGATGTGGTGCCTGGTACCCTGCTCATCACGCAGCTATTATTCTACAGTACAGCGTGGGGCACGCAGCCAGCAGAGCACACACTGTGTTTCTGCTGAAGTATTGTTGGATCGGAGGCTGAGCGCAAGATTTAAAGTAATGATGCGTGTGCGTCTGCTTCCCTTCTGTACCGCTGACTGACGGAAACCCATCGCTGTTTCTGCCTTAAATGGCCAATGTGTGTTACAGTAGGTCTCTCCTGGGAAAAACTCCTCTGGTTCACAATCAATTTGTAAAAGAAAAAAAAAAAAATCAAAGATGTCCATGAGGAATGATATTCACCATGGATGAACAAAAAGACAGCAACTATGGAAAGGAAAAAAAAAATTACCTCGACCTTTGGGTAAAGTTTTTGTGACATACCAATACTGACGACAACTGTAATATATAAAAAATTAAATATTGATTTTGTGTTAATGCTAGACATGATAATGTCATGTAAATAATACAGCGTCTCTTAAATTACGTTTTTGTTACAGCCTTTGTCTCCACCTCCCTAAATCTGACATCGTGACACTTTCGGTATATCAGCCAATGTCCCCAACCCGATACAATGGAGGTCAATGGAACTTTGCTAATGTCAGCATGCTGAAATGCTCACAATGACAATGCTAGAATGTTGATGTTAAGCAGGAACAATGTTTACGATGTTTACTATCTTAGCTTAGCTTAGCATGCTAATATTTGCTAATTAAAAAGTACAAAGTATTACAAAGTGCAGCTGAGACGGATGGCGGTGTCCAAAGGTATTAGAATTAATACTGTCGGCAACATGACTGTCTCCACCAAAGTTTTATAGTTCGAGGCATTTTACTCAAAACCACAAATGTGAAACTCGTGGTGGCGCTGAATGAAAAGTCAGGGGGTCATCAAAGTCATTAGCGTTCATCCTCTTGGAACCATGAATAACTACACAAGGTCTTAAGGCAATCCTTCCAAAGGCTCTTGAAATACTTCAGTCTGGACCAAACAGAGACGATGTCCTCATTTTTCCGGATAACTCTTTTAATTAGTCTTCATGTGAAACTTTCTCTGTGGTATAAATTTGTTCCAAGATAACTTTTGTAGTTTAGGATAAACATTTAACCTCCATTGTTGGAGGCAGATATCTCAAAACCCATACAAATACAAAAAAATCTATCAGCATGACTCGGTACCACTAGTGTTTTTTGTGATTTGAACGAGCAAATCTTTGACACCTTCCAAAAAGTTCAAACACTTTGCAAACTGCAACTTTTAAGAGTCACAAACTGTTGTAGTTGTTGTAGGGTGTTGGCCTGTGGATGTGTGTGTATGTGTGTGTATGTGTCTGTATGGATTAATAAGACCTCAGCATGTTTTCATTTCATGTTTTTCCAGCGGGCCGAGCTGATGGCCTGCAGAGTAAATACAGTCCTGTTGGTACCAGGCTGCAAGATTAGACAACTGACAACTCATATGAGTCTTCCCAGCCCCTCTCTGTGTGTGTGTGTGTGTGTGTGTGTGTGTGTGTGTGTGCTGAGCCGATATCAATTATGTTTATGACAAAGAAGACTTTCGGGACAGTCTGGGTCCACCTCACATATCTCTCTCGCTTGCTCTCACTCACACACACACAGAAACCGTCGCACCCATCCCTGTTGTGGTATTTACGGAAGATTCCTTCTCTTCTGCCATCGTTGGAAAACACAGTGTCGGTGGTATGTGAAGAATGTTTCATCTAGAAACATAACAACAAGCAAAGTGTTCCGTTTATTACATTTGGAAGAAGCTCATTAAAACCTGTATGCCTCATTAAAACCTGTATGCGTATGCTTCTCAATGACCGGTACGGGCAGTACTACACTGCTGTGGCAGATATGGAGATTTTTGTATATTTGCAGTTTCGCCCGGTCAAGTTGTGAGGGCAGTGGTTTTAACAATATGTGCACATTACATAACAAGCTTGTTAATATTTTCTTAAAAAAGGTGCTTTTGGTTCTGCTGTCTGGGAGGAGTAGGGAGGAGAGGCAGGGAGGGAAGGTTGAGGCAGGGTGAGGCTGGAGGTGCCCCGGCTGAGACGAGTTCTGGCGGGGCAGCAGTATGAGGACATGTTTTTGACTGTGATAATTTCGGTATCTGTGTGTGTGCTTTCATTTTATTTTTGTGTGTCCATATTTGGCGCGATGATGCTCATATATAGGGCATTAGAAAATACTTTAAAAAATATATTTTTTCTGTTTAGTTCTTTCCTCACCAGACTTAACAGGCTTTTTTGTAGAAGACGTTTTGTCACAGTAGGAAAAAAAGGCTTCAATAATCAAAATGAATGATGGCTGAATTCCATTAAGCCGCTCTGTTTCAGGGTCCTGGTGCCGTTCATGCTGGCTCACTGTCACACTGTCATGGCTTAAAGATCACAGCCATCGTTATTAGCAACACCTGTGCTTTTCCAACTCAGCCTGATGGTCTCCTAAAAAATGACGTTCCCATGCAATGAAACTACACTGGCAAATACTTTTTGAGGGAAACGTATTTTCTGCCGGATCACGTTTGTTTTTGACGTGTCAATACATTTAAAAATCAAAATCTGCGTAAGTCGACATAGGGAGGAGGTCGGGCTGGATGGATGGGGTCTGTTTGTGTTCTTTGTGAAACTAAAAGTCAATGGTGACTTTATGTAACGTACCAAACATGCTTATTTAAAGGCCAAACCATGATCCTTACATAAACATATCCAAGTAGTTTTTGTTGTGCTCTTGTTTGGTTTAGTTTCAATTCGCAGCGTTAAACACATGTTTAAAAACTGCAACCGTAATCCTGGGGAAAATGTGTTTTCCACAAATAACGTAAATGAGAATGCAGTTTATGGGTAGCCAGGGTTGTCCTACTATGAGAAGTCAACATGTCTGCTGTGAAAAAGAACTACAATGTATTGTTACAAATGGCACTGGTTACAGCAGCACAGAATACATAAATCGCCTCTTTGCACTTTATTTTGTCATCGAGGACAAATAGAGCGACCCATCAGTGGAATTAATGCATAGTTGGATAAGAAACAGACTGTTTTGGAATTAATGTGAGTCAACTGCAGGCTTTTACTCAATTTGCTACTGATTTCCTTTGTTTTTTTCCCCATCAATTAAAATGAGTATCTAAAACACGATTAGATAATCCTTACTGTGATGGAAAAACGTGTTGTTTTGAGAACTGATTTTGAGAGCTGTATCAATCTTAATTCATTAAAGTCATAAATGCTTTGGTGACACACTACACTGTAGGTCATCGTGCAAATAATCAAAACAGAATATCTATACGAAAAATCAGTACACATCCTGTCAAAGAAAAGACCAGTGTTGAATGAAAAGAGTCAAATAACGACGACCTGCCCACATACTTCTGTCCCCGGCCAGCGGAATAACTTGATTCATGGCATGTTTTGAATATTTTCCAATCAGTAAATCAACCCACTTTCCTTCGCAAAACTTCCTGATTCTCGTGCTTCACTTCCTTCAGTGGCACAGTGACATTTTTCGTAGCTACCTGGGAATTAGAAGGCGGCACGTAAAACAACGTCTAAAATTAGGATTTTAAGGATCCGCGTTTCTCACGGTAGAGCTAGCATGACACCAAGTGAAACAACTTGAAGAGCCCCACAGAGGAAGGAGAGGTAACACAGAAAAAGGAAGCGGCCGTGGTAGACAGACCTGTGCTGAAGGTGAACATCCTGTTCGAGACCGTTTGACGCGGGAACAATCAACAATGGTTTCTGAAACATTTCCAGCTTTAATTGTTTGTGTGTGATGAAAATAGATTTTCATAGAAATAGAAGAGAGTGTGCTAAGCGTGTCAAAGGTGTGTGTGTGTGTGTGTGTGTGTGTGTGTGTTACCTGTTGTATGGGTTTCTCAGCAGCAGAGCCTGGCTGCCTGTGCAGCTGTCTGAAGGCGTGTGGCATCCATAGACAGGTGGAGGTACCGGGTACTGCTGCTCCGCTGTGGGACACACACAGGCATCATGTACAATATTATGTTACACATGCAATTGAATGCGCCCATAAAGGCCCGAAGATGAAGGTAAGCTCAGAAGCGATGTCTTCTGCTTCTCATCTTCTTTTAAACTCTTGCCCTCGGCCTGTTTTGCTCAAAACTCTTTTCCACAAATAAAGACTCTTTGCTTCACGTTTCTCTCCCTGAGCTCCCGTAGCAGTGCGGCGAATGAACGGCTCCCTCGACATTTCTCTACATTCCAAAATCCCCCACGCAACTCAGATTCTCCCAGTTATCTTCGCCGTAAAAATTGGGCAGCAAACATTTAAATATTTACCAATAACATGCTGCCGAGGAGGGATTCAAAGGGGGAGGTGGGCGGATAAAAGAGGGGATGAGAGGAGGAGATGAGGGAGTTTTTTCCGCGAGTCAGGATGTGGCTGATTTATACCGCCGACAGGCGAGGTCACGGCGGAGACTTCAGGATAAGGGACAAGACACTCCCTAGGTGAGAGCCACGGAGCTGCCATCCAGACGCAGCTGTGCACTCGCACACTGGCTTTAAATAGAGGTTTGGTACTATTGAGACTCTGATGCATAATTGTTATTGTTTTTCAACGAAAAGTGACTACTGAAAGTGAAGAGTAAATAAAATGAGTCTTTTTTTCAGATCTACGCAGGAGAAGCTAGAAGCTAACACAACTTATAACGCAACAGAACTGCCCTACAAAGGCAAAACACAGCAACTAAGCTACGTTTTTGGTTAAAGAAATTACCTGAACGTGACTTAATTACATCTGTTGTACTACTTTAAAACAAAAAATAGAAATGTGTACAATTCTGTGAAAATCGCAGTGACTACAAACAACACGCTAGGATCAGATGTAACTTACAAGCTAAAAGCTAATCATTGCCAGTTATTATGTTTTATTTCCAAATAGCAATGATCTGTAATTAAAAAATTAGCATTTTGTTTGCTATTCCATATCACTAGATGAGGCAGTGGCTCAATCAGCCCAAAAATCCAATCATGATAGAGAACAAAAAGCTAACTAGCTTAGCAGAGCAGCAGTATCAGTGGCTAGCTAGAGGAATTCACATTTAATTCACATATTTAAATGTATTAAATTGTAGTTTCATTTGTATTGTTTCATTATTTTTAATGGTTGTCCGACAGACAGCCACCTAGCAACACATACATTTAAAATAGACAAGAAATGGACAAGAAAGCTGAAAGCCAGCCTGACACTTTTTAAACTCTCCTGTAGTAACTGAGGAGCAAAAGGTTCCGCGCTCCGACACATAAAGACACTTACCCATGGTGCTTTGCTGGGTTAAAGCGTCTTCGTGCTTGAAGGAATGGTTGGAGAACTGCGAGCTGTGGTGTGTAGGAGTGTGACCGTAATTACCGGCTCCATCGAATGCGACCGCGCTGTAGCCTGCAACACGGAGAACAAAAAGCCAGAGTCAGAAGAAGGTAACTTCTAAATAAAGTCCATCAGAGATCACACAGCACCTAATTTATTAATTAGACCATCAGCTCTAATGACATGATGCTGGTGTTTTGTTTAATTTCCCCCTCATTAAAAAAAGGTGTTGTACATAATCACTGATTGCAACCGTCAAAACTACTTCGAGATGGATTAAATGGCATTTGTGTCTATGATCTTTTAACTTTTCCTGGATTTTATCACTTGCTTTGAATCTCTTTTTATCTGCTTTTGAGCACAAATGTTTAATAAATAGTCCAGCATATTTTACAGTGAAGTAAGTGGAGCAGGACCTGATCTGATCAAAGAGTCACAATAAAGTTTGGTTGCTTCTCCACAGGAAACGCAAGAGGAATTCGCAACGATTTAGAGCTCAAAAATTCCTTTACTCCTCTTCTCTGACAGTTACAGATTCTGGAGTTAATCCTTATTGATGATATCAGATTTCACAAATATTTTGGAGCCATTTTGAAAGATTCATTAACTCTAAATAATCAAATTAAACAAGGATCTAAATTACCTGACGTCCCGGACCCAGACCTGACTCAAGACTTAGACTGACCTACAGGGCACAATGCACACCCATCAATCACCCACATGCACACACACGCACACGCACACACTCGCTATCTCTCACTCTCACATACATGCCTCATTAATTAAAATGCAGCACTTTCACTCACTTTCCTCGGTGGATCATTGGGTGAGAGGAGGGAGGGAGCGAGATGGGGGGGGGGGCTCATTAAACATTTCCATTTATCTTCCACTCACCCCTGTCTGACTCCTCTGTGTGTGTGTGTGTGTGTGTGTGTGTGATATCATTGTTGCCTTGAAGTCCAGCACTGAGGTGACAAGCGATGAGGTCAATTTGTATTCAACTGGAAAACCAAAAGTCTGGAAATACCCCAAGACATTTTCTTTTTTCCACAAACTGAAATGAACTAGAATTGTATTTTCATCCTGACACAGTATTTATTACAAAACGCTTTCTTGTGTTTGAGGTCCATTTCATGCATGGTCTTTCAACGTGAGCAGTGCTGATGTTAGCGGTTTATCATGTCTTGCTACTGTAACAGTTTACTGATTTAAAAACTCGCAGACCTGCGAAAACAAATTTATCCGTAAAATAAATTATTTCTGCTCCAATAAATGACTAAAAAACTGTTTGGATTGCACCCATTTGGGCCTCTCTCAACAAGCCCACAGTGAAACGTGAATGCTTTTAGAAATATCAAGCTCTGATATGAAAATGAAATCCCTCCTGCAGGGAGGTTATACAGTGACAGTCTCTGTGACCCTGCCCCGCTATCAGAGACCCGCGTCCTGCTGTGAGTCTGTTTGTCTCTGCTCGTCCAGCCACAGCGGGCAGCAGATAAAGCAGGTTAGAGGTCGGCGCGGCTCTTTGATTATAATGTTATTGCTAAATTATCTGCTTGATAAGCATGTTATTATTAATTAATCTGTTGGGAAAGCACCAACAGATTCATTATACCCGCATGGAAAAGAGAACCATAAAGAAAAAAAAACAGCATGCTGGGATTTTAATGTGTCACATGAGTCCCAATAATTGGCCTTTGACACATTTCCTCACTATGTGTCCCTTCACTCTGCAAAGCTTAACAACATGTTTTAAACAGACGTGAAACCCGATGACTTTGGTGTATAATGCGATGCTGCAGACATTCATAATAAATGTAAGAATTTAATTCAACTCAAATTATCTCAATGCCATTCAACAGACAAAAATAAAATTAAAAATGTAATGGGATTTAATTCTACAAAAGACTGTCATTCTACATGTCTTAAACCGTTCCATCTGTTCGGTAACAGATACAACTTTTTTTATTTTGAGGATTTTCACAGAAACTATTTTTTTTTTTTAAGCAGGTAATTTTTCCAAAACATGGGTCAAGAGTTTTTTTAGGCTAAAACTACTACTGTGGTGTACTGATGTGGAACACTCTAAAATGTGAGAAATACCAGACTCCAGTAGACACACTGACAAATTAGGATTAACTCAGCGAAGCCTCAACAACTGTATCTTTTTTTCCCTTCCTGTTAATAACATCTGGAAAAAAAATGCTGATCATATTCTTGTGTCATAACTCACCTCAGTCATGCATTTTATTTATATAGTTGAAGTATTTCTTTTTTTTATTGCCAGTCCTAGTAAAAATAACTAGAAAAGAAAAGAGTAATTTCCCAAAACTAAGCAGACACATTTTAGATGCTGTAGAGGCCTCAGGGCTTTAATCAGCGTATTGTTTGTTGTTCAGCAGCTTCAACACAGGAAACACTCGACCAAAATTAAAGTGATTTCTCATATCCATCATTAGAGAAGAGTTTTACTTAAAGTCCAGAGCCGGGAATTATTAGGACCTATGTACATATTTCAAATGTATTCCTAAAAAACAGACATGAACGTGTCAAGTAGTAAAACAAATTGCACGATGAAAGCAGAGTTATAAAACCTGGTGAAGCATCATCACGGTGACTCCGAGTCAAAGTGAGTCGTTTCGGGTCAAAACAAGTTCATGAGTACGACTGACTGCAGTTGTTTTGGTTTATTGTCCCTCTACTGGGACCTGGCGTATTAATGGTCCGTTCACACTAAGAGCACTACACTACAGATGTGGCTTAACTTCGGCTAGGACGTTAACACCTCAACACTAAACTCAAAGGGATTCGAAGCTGGATCACCTCTCTACAAAGGCAATTGTCTATTCAATATTTAATAGTTATCTCCTTGTTTATCACAGACTTAATAACGCAGTGCTAAAAGTTAGGGTGAACTAAGGTCAGTGAAGGCAACACCTCTGCCAGTGTAAACCAGGTCATATAATGTTTCACATAGTGTCTCATGTACATGTGTTATCACTGACGAATCGGTATGTGATATATCAGGTCATGGTTGATAACTGACAAAGAGAGTAGCTTGAATTAAGATGAGGTCTACATTTAACTTGGTTCATTGAAAAGTGAACTTTTGTCGTCAACACAGAGAGTGAAGCTTTCAGAAAAGGGAGGATGTGTGGAGGAAAGTAAGCAAAAAAACTGCAGAAGATGATTCTTTTGATGTATTTCAAGATTTAGGGCCTCATTCGCCAACCTTCTCAAGAAGAAATGTTTTCACGGATATTCTGCCATTCACAAATGTTTTCTTATTCGGGATTTGTGCTAAGATAAACCTTGTCCGAAGCGGCACACTCAAGAGCACACTTACGAACATTTGAGCGCTGACGTGTTTGCGCAAAATAATTGGATATTGCGTTTTCCTTAACTCTACAGTATTATAATATTATAGGATTTAAATTACAATATTTTAAATATTTTTCAATACTTATTCCCATTATTTAAAAAAAGCTTTATGGTCTTTTAATAAAATTAAACAGTTAATTGGGAACCATTAATCAGGAGCTATTCAATAATTAGCAATTGATCATGCTATTTATTGGCCAAATGACGCTACTAAAAATGACAGTTTGTTTTCACTCCCTGCAGAAGTCCTTTTGGAGTTCTGCTCTGTTCATCCCTTGACTGAATTCTACCCCCAACTCTTTTTAATTTCTGCGTATCCGTCTCATGCCCTTTAATGTGGATTGGCTGGCAGGGCGTTAACTTTAAGCTCATTATAGGGTCAACTAGCACAGGCTTTCGATTTACGACGACAACACAATGCATCCATCTAAGAACACAGGTGTGAACAATTCTACAGTTCAGAAACACATCGGAAATCTGACGTAGACTTTCCTTAGGACCTTTCTCAAGAACAAATTCAAGAAAAAAAAAAGATATTGGTGAATGAGTCCCAAGCTTCAGGGAACCAAAGTGACTCTAAAATGGATGATGAGGCTGACTTACTGAAACCCAGACAGATAACAAACTTGGTAGCATGCTATATAACGGCACTGGTCCCGGGTTTGACTCCAACATTAGGACCACTTCTACTCTGTCCTCTGACGAATACAGACCAAAAGGCCTCAAACTTTCCTCCGGCCCTACCTGTCTGGTTGCGTGCCGCCTGCTGTGTGTCCATGCAGTTGGTCAGGTACGGTGGGTTGCTGAACATCCTGCTGGGGGGCTGGTGGTGGTGCGGGGCGGTCACGGACGGTGGCTGAGTCGGGGGCGGCGGTGCCCCGAAGGCCCCGTACCTGCAGGCCCCGGTGCCGGTAAACTGGCCGGAGAAGTGGACGGTGAAGGCGCTCAGGCCACAGTGGGGGTCGGTGTCGTGGTGGTGGGGGTCGCCGGCGGTCCCCCAGCTGGGCTCTTGCTTGATGAAGGAGTGTGGCCCCAGGGAGGCATGCGGGGCGGCCAGGGAGGAGTACGGGGAGGCGGCGGTGTGGAAGTCCAGGACAGGGGCCCACTGGGGGGTCGTGCTGACGGGCAGTGCCGGGCAGCCGGGGCTGGGGCAGGCCGGGAGCGGGGGCAGCAGGGAGTTCAGGTCGCGGACGTCTGAACCCATCGTTGTCCAGGGGACAAAACTGGGACAAAGGTCAGCTATTTTTAAATCGGATCTGTCTCCCCGCCTATGTACGGCTCACCCAAAACCCAAATCACCCTCTAAATCCTCGAAAGTCTTTCTCTCACTGAATGAACGGCTTCTTCTCTTTTGCTCCCAGGCTCGGTTTTTCACCCATCGGCCGTTCACGGCGCTTTCCTTCTGATCTGGAAACCCCTTAAGTCCGAGAGAAGTTCATGGTCGAAACAGCAGAGTCACAGGAGCCAACTTTTCTCGGTGGCAGGAGCAGAACGAGGAGGAGAAGTAAAGTCAAATGAAACGTGGTGAATCAGCTGAGATCTTTACCCTCCACTAAACAAAAAAAGATTCTCGGAGAGATGGGAGTCCATTCACGGAAGAGAGAGAGAGGCTTCTGCTCAGAGCTTTCCTCAGTGAATGGAAAAAGAGGAGTGAAGGAGGAGTAGTCCTCTTTTCCCTCCATGCTCTCAGCCCATGAGTGTGTGTGTGAGGTGGGTAGGAGGTGGAGTCAGGAGGTGATGAGGGACAGGAGCCCTCTGACTTCATTCATTTACTGTATGCAGAACACACACACACACACACACACACACACACACACACACACACACACATTTGCAGGAAAATAAAATCACAATTCTGACATCAGTGCCATAAATCCAAAGTAAAAATCCATCTCCTCATTGTTAGCCAATATATATATATTATTTTTTTGGGGGTAATATGAAAAAAAATGTAATTGTCTCTCAGCTTGTTAAGAAGTACAAATATCCCATGAACTACTCTGTTGTTTCATAAGGTTAGAGAGCTGAGAGGCTGCTGTGCTGGATATTTTTCAGCTGTAGGTTTTTTTCGGGGTCACAAAGCACTGGGCTCATCGTTTTTAATGATCACATATCACACATGCAAGTTTAAGATATTTCAAATTAAAAGAAAGTGGCAGTCTCGATAGCACCCTGTCATAGACTATTATTATGATTATTTCAGCCCTAAAAATCACCTGGACAGAAATAGAGGTAAGAAATGAGGCCCGGCCGCGCGCAGGAATATTGTTAGAGAGAAATAAAATGAAATACGTTAGCTTACCTCGGACCATTGCTTCGTGTCCCCCGAATTAGGTTTTATAATTGGTCCGTTTTTCTAAGAACAAAACGGATAACGGTCTAATTTAAATTGTTTGTAGATTAACTGTCGGTCACAGATGAACGGCCCGCGAGACGATAAATCTTGCGGATTCAGGCTTCAAGTTCTTCGGTTCTTTTCGTTTTTATTCGTTTCTAAATTATTTTCTTTACTTGTTTTAATTTTTTTAAACTACAATTAAGCCAACAGTAGAGGTAGGATAATTGTCTTTATGAAATGCCAAAGACACGTTATTCATTAACCAATATATTTAAGGTGTCCTGAAAACGACCGTGAAAACCTCAGACATATTTTACACGGTGAAGCGAATCATTTGGTGTCAATTAAATAGTTCTAAAGATCTGTTCACTATCGTGCAGGAAGAATAATAGTACATTTATTTATTTTAACGCTTTATATTATATAAACTAAGCGCAAATGTTATTATTAGCATTAATCTCGAAGCGTTCCCCTTAATCCCGTGCTGTTTATTATTTATCACTTGCGATGATAAATGCCCATAAAGTCCGTTTCTGTTACAATCTTTATCTCGTTGTGTGTGTGTGTGTTTGTGTGCTGAAAAGAGGAAAACGGCTCATTTAATGAAAAAAATCATATTTTACCATCAGCGTTGCAGCGTTCAATAAAATGCATAAACAGATAGACTTTAACCTCCTGTTCACCTTTTAGAAATAACAGCCACCCAAAATAACAACATGTATTGATTAATTAAAGAGTGCGAACTTTTGCTGTTGGTGAACTTAAAAAGCTTTTTTTTCTTTCTTTTTTAAATCTAATTATGCGCCCGAACTAAGTAACGTGCGTCAATAATGATTAAAGTCAGCTTCATTAATATGGCTGAAAAAATTCATTTAAAAAAACATATCCGGTCACTTTTAAATAATGAATATGACTGACCATTATCCTAATTATGTCATTATCTATACTAATATTATTATGCTTCCGTGTGTTTATCTATTTGAACCCGTCACTTTCCGTCATTAAAGAGCAGAAGCGCCTTCCTCCTATCAACACGGTACAGTAGGCCGGCCCACTACAAAACCGACCGGAGACCTGTTCATGACCCTGCAGCCATCATTAAAGAGACGACCTAAAGACACGGGGCGGGGGGGGGGGGGGGGGGGG